GAAAAAAAGATAATAATTGTCCAATCAAAATGAATGTGGGCTGGGGATATAGCTCAGTGGCACAGTGCCTTGCTTGGCAAGTGCAAGGACCTGAGTTCAATTCCCAGCACCAAAAAAAAAAAAGAATGAATGTGTACGGATGGTTATTGAAAGGGAGAAACTGTCCAGTAAAATTGATCTTTTAAAAACTTTGTTCTTTTTGAAACTGCCGAGTTCTGTTAACTGCTTCATGGCTCAGTAATTATTTTCTCGACCCCTGTAACCACAAGAGCGTAACTGAACTTGCAGGATGTCTGATTATTAATTGTTACAAGCTCCATTAACCTAGCCTTGTAACCGATGATCTCCCCTTGCTAGCTACTCAGTGAACAGCCAGGCTGTTCTATCTCGACTTTGTAACTCGTGCTTGTGCTTCCTGTGAAAGTGCTGGCCCACAAGCGTTTGCCACCTGGCTTTGTTAATTGGGAAAAGTAAGATACAGCTGTTCGCTGCCTCCAGACTTCCTCAGGAGTCGTTCCCTTCCTGACTCAGTTTTGCTGCAACATTATTATGCTATTATTTCACTATATCTATAAGTTTGAAGTGTTTCTAAATAAAAAGTTTAGGAGGAAAGTAAACTACAAAGGGAGAGTGACCAACAGCTCAGATTTTTTAAAAACAAAGGTATGGTACATGTATAAAGACCCTGAGCAGGTCTAAAGAATACTGTACAAGCCATGGGTGAGGCCACATGCTTGTACTGCCAGTCCTCAGTAGGCTGAGGCAGGAGGGTTATGAGTTCCAGGCCAGCCTGGGTTACATAGCCAGACCTTGACTCAAAGAAAAAAAAATGTAGAATAGCCAAGATGCAGGCTGAAGGCCAGAAAACATGAAGTGGGCAGTGAGGGAGGGAAGTTATGCGCAGTTTTGCTGTGGAAAAAGTCATTGCTTCTACATATATTTCTTTTGTTGTGTCAAGTGGGTTTTTAAATAGTTTTTTGTTTTGTTTTGTTTTGTTTGCTTTTTTTGAGACAGGGTCTCACTACGAAGTTCAGGCTGGCCTTGAGTTCACTTTGTATCCCAGGCTGGTCTTGAACTCG